CTCTCCAGCTCATCAAAGAGCGATTTGCCGCAGGAACCCCATACAATCAACCCATAGGTAACAGATGCATGGTAGAATTACTTTGAGATAAAAATCAGCTCTCGCTGTAGTAGGTAAGAAATATAAGGACTTGAGAAGGTTCAACTTTTGTGAAAAGGACTTAATCAACTCTTTTAGGTGAGCGTTCCAATTGAGGTCACTTTCAACTTCTACCCCTAAACACCTAGATGATTTAACTTGAGTGACAACACTGTTCCCCAATAACACTGGTTGCAGCAGCCCAACAAACTGGCCACGCATTAAAATCATATACTCGGTTTTACCAGGATGGGGTATGAGGCGGTTAAGGCAGCACCAGTTATACAACTTCCGAAGGATAACGTTCAAGACAACAGCGACCATATCAGGAGAAGACGCAGCCGCGTAAATCGTAGTTTCATCAGCATGCAGGTGAATATCACCATCACAATTCCCAACTATATCAGGCAAATCGTTGCAAAACAACGAAAACAAGGTGGGAGGTCGCTTGATCCTTGTTTGGACTGATGCATGTACAAGCATGTGGTCCGAGATTCCAAGCTCGATTGTTCTGGTGTTTTTTATCAGGTTACGATTGCTGCTTATTACCTGGTCAATTAGAGTAGACGTACCACTTGTCACCCTGGTTGGTTTGTCATTGATAACCGTGTAGTTAAAGTGAGATAACAAATCCTGTAATTTTTGGCCAGAAGTGGAGGAAATTGAACCGTCAGTTAAACAAGTACTATCGCAGTTTAAGTCGCCAGTGATAACTTCATTGCGGCGTTTAATCCAGAGTTTCTCGAGTATGACCTGAAATCTATCAAAGAATAGAGAATCTAAAGGTGATCTATAAACAGTTCCTACGATGAAAACGGACGAGTTTACCAGAATCTTAAGCCATATAGCCTCAGTGTCCTTCGATTCCAAGGAGCTTAGCCGTGTTGAGCAAATATGATTGGCGATGTAGAACAAATATCCACCGCCGATGGTGTTAGCGTCTCTGTCCATTCGGATAATCTTGTAGTTATTAATCTCGAGTTGACGATCGATAGGAAATTTTCCGATCCAAGTGAGTTTCAGTAATCGCAAGAATGTCAAAACGGCAGATGTGCAGCAATATTTTTATCTCGTCGACCTTATTCCTAAGGCTGCTGATATTAATCTGTGCTACACTCAGGTTTAATCCCTGGTGCACAGACCTTGCGAAGTCATGCAAATAATCTCCCGTTTGGTCAATCACGCCTTGCCATCCGAGGTTGGTTTCAACATCGCCCGAAAGAAGTAAAAGCTGTTTGGTCGCCATCGTACTAGCGTAATAGCAGGTTTAAACAATGCGGGAGCAGGTTTAAACAACAACTGAACTATGATTGATAAAAGCCTTCCACATAAGCCTGCATTCCCATTAGGTTATTTTCAACTTAAYGGCTCTCCTTGGAAAAATGCGCGTGCTTTTTAAACGGAACCTCCCTTGTTTTAACAAATAAGTCTTAAAATGTTCCAAATGTACTCCTCAGTAGATCGGGCATAAAGAAGTTGCCTTACCAAGCGGTCTGATTTTTCTATCGTTTTCCAAAGAAGGGTATCACAGCCACTTTGAATTTCCCGCGGCCGTCATCTAAAATACTGCACAATGCACACAAGGTGTAGTTTTCCACTTATGTCGACCCTAAATTGCAGTCGTTTAAGAAATGTTTAGAGAATGTGTCACAGTTCTTCCTTTTTAGTTAGAGCCGGAGCACTCTTCAAGCGAAGAGAGACAGGAAAGCAAGGTAAAAGATGAAGAATATGGAGAAGCGCCAGGTTAGAAATTCTGAAAATCTCGACCGCCGATCGAACACCTCATGGTGTTTATGGCTCCAACTGATGATAAAGATCTGTGACATATTCAATGAATTTTTCTTCAAGAGACAGCAATAAAGTATCAACATGAGTACCAAGAAACCATTACACGTCATGAGCTTAAATTTCATTGCGCGCTATTCAAGATGGCAGCCAC